GACCTGACAGGGAATATTGCAAGGCATGCCATCGGTTCGACGTACTAATTGAACGCGGACTTCCTAGAGATGTGACAAAACATGTGGGACGTGGAAGCATGGGAGCCTTTGGCCATGGTGGAATTCCTCGTTCTGGGAATGGTTGGTGCATGCCAAGTCTTTGCCCTAGGCGTGTCCATCCAGAAAGTTCGTCGGCGGAAGTGCCCCCCAAATGTCACCAAGAACGTCGATATCGTCGTCATAATGGTGAGTACGCGATGAAACAAGCCAAACGCTCATTGCCGTCGCAGTTGTGGACGTCGTCTTCGTTTTCGGCTGTTACCGTCACCGTTTTGGTCTAACAATCTTCAGTTTCTGTTGGACGATAGGGAATTTAATTTTGTGCACGGCATTTATTGGTGCTTCCGGTAGTTTTGATTGTCCTGTTGGGCAATCAACTTACTGGTTTCTCGAAGAAATCAACCTGCTTTCTCTGTGCCGCCCTGGTTGACGCGCAGTATGCTGTGAACTTGGTGTTTCCGCAGTTTCTCTCGCGCTCACCGTTTCAGTCTTCGTCTGAGCCTCCATCTCAATCTCTGTCTTTGTCTCTACCTAATATCTAGCTCCTGTCTCTGTGCCCCTCCCCACCTCTCAACAGTCCCGTGCCTGTGTCTCTCTTTTCCTCTCATTTTTTCTTGTCTCCTCGATCTACGTGACTCCCCACAAGTGCTCTCCATGTCGATGTATCTACCACCACATGCTCTCGATGCCTGTGCATACTTCTCCCCACTCGTGTTCCCGCTATCCTTGAACGCGCAGACTTTCGCGGGTTTCGCGTGGACATTTGCGACCGTGGTGGCAAACGGCCTTATTCAGAGGAGCGAAGGGGACTTCTTCGCCAACTGCCACTTCGAGGTACGTGTACTTCGCGCGGTCACAGAATGCGGTATTGAGCGGTGCTGCAAGGGTTCAGCAAACACGAACCGACTACGCTACCCTCGGCCCCTCTTGCTGTGCCTCGATTTTAGGGCTACAGTGTAATGATTGACCTTTGTGAAGCGACAACGCATAACGATCCCACCGTGTCAGTGAACTCAAGTCAGGGGCCGGGGATCAGTGAGATAATGGCGGGCACACGGACTGTGGCAGAAGACCGATGAGGTCGTGGAATGAAACGACTTCCAAGCGACATATTCCGGAACCACGCGGTTGGAGGTTTTGTCAGAGGGTCGTACACCAACAACTCCAGCCTCCGCTTTGAGGTCGCCCTAATCTTGGTTTATGCTCAAGTCTCGAGCCGGTTGCTCTGTAGAGTCTGTCGTGCGGCCCGCCCGAGGGCGTCTCCTTCGTCTTGCGTGCGCACCGGAGTTTGTCTTCCTTGGTGTAATCATCACTAATTCCATTCCGGGTGCACCCGTCTCTCTCTCGGTCTACTACACCCGCTGTTCGTTGCGTAACCATCGTTTCCAACGTGCTGTGTGCCTGACTCCCTGCCTCCCGCGCCCCTCCCGGCCCTGCTCGCCTCGCCTTCTCATACTCCCAAGGTCTCTTTTTCGTGGACGACATTTATGGCGCACTTTATGTCGTTCGTCGTTCGGGTGTACAGGTTGTGGAGGATATTGATCAAGCACGACGACAACATCTGGTGCGCAACGTGAGTTCAACACAGGTATTCCCTGTGGTGTAGGGTTGCGAGGAGGAGCAAGCCTCACCTTTTTCTTCTTCGACGAGCTGGTGGTTAGCCTCAGTGTCGGCCCCAAGTGTTTTCCATGGCGGCATCTGGGCGTTTTTGTTGTGCTTCTGCGTTCCACTGCGTAAACGAAAGTCAACAGACACCGTGCCGACGTGTCCAACTCGACTCTTCAGGGTCCAGGTATTGCTACCGAATACCGGCCTGATACCCCTGCTGCTGGCCATCCTGGACCCAGACCTTTACTTCTTCGACGAAACTGCCAACTCTTGCGGCACCTCGACGGGCGCGACGTAAGTGGTGCTGGCCATGGACGCTTTCGGATTCTCCATAACATTGTGTCATTGGTGAGGGGATGGGGGGCGAGGTGGTGGAGGTGTAGAGAATGGGTCGGTGTACTGCAGTCAGTTATCACTGTTTTGGTTTGCTTCGTGTGTAGACTAATCGTACGAATTGTCGTCCCATCTTTTCTGGTGTCGTGATATCTTTCTGGGCGTTGGGGTTCATCTTACGGTGAAACCGAAGTGGATGGTGCACCAGCCGGGCCGTCGCTCGCTGCGTTGTTGTCGTACTTACTTGTGAATGGCGAGAACGATGCAGACCGTCCATGGGACACCCATGGGTCACCCATGGGCACTTCATGGGCTGCCCATGGGCGGCCCGTGAAGTGCCCATGAAGTGCCCACCGTGGGCACTTCATTCTAGACTTCGCCACCTGCACATCAACATAGAACTTAGTGACAAACGCCAACCTAGCACGTTCCGTGCGGGCTTGGAGTTAGGCTTAGGGTTAGTGTCAGGGTTATTAGCCGCTGTAATGCCCGTTCCAGAGGCAGGTAATCTATTTCTTGTAGTGCACTGGTTCCGGTTGGAATGGCTCTATTTGGCCGCCCATGGGCTTCCCATGGGTCGCCATGGGCCGCCCATTGGCTGCCCACGGGCTACCCATGGGCATGCTCATGAGAATGCCCATGGGGATTTTAGAAAAAACGTAGAAAACGTGCAGGCGACCCTCATTTCGTGGGGTATGATGAAAGTATTGTGCCAGTTCGTGGGACGGGGCCGCGCTTTCTAGTGCAGAGCTCCGACCCGCGGTGAACACCGTAATCACTGAAGTCCGACACGGTTGAGATCTTATTTTCTCCAGGCAGTGTGCTCACGAGCCAGGACACTCTGCTACAGTTTTGCATAATTCGGGAAAGGGCAAGTCGCACCGAATACATATTGTTGATTTGCTTCTGATATTCGCTCTCATGTGTGTTGGTTGGGACCCGAAAACGGCGATACAAGCGGACAGGTCTGTGCCCCCACGATGGCCCTCTTTTTCAAGAAGTAGAATCGAAAACACGTGTACCTGTCCATTTCCACCGTATATTATTGTTCGGGCTATCGTAAATAGTGGTCGTCGACGCCCTTGTCGTTGTCATTGTCGGCGTTGCTTTGTCTCTGAAGGAGATCACGTACACTACACATTCCTTCGACCCCGGTCTTTCATTGACTGCCCTTGTCTGCTGGTGCTGCAACCCCAGGCTTGTGTGTGCCCGTCAACTGAGGTGGGTCCGGAAGCAGTTCAATGAGTATGAGCCGATGAAGTGGAACCTGTCGCGCCTGACTTTGCTCCTTTTTAGCTACCCGATCATGGTGGCCATAGGTCTCGACGGCCAGCACTCCTGCGTCAGAAGAGTGGCCATCGTGTGTGAGTCGCTATCCACGTTGCTGTGTGCTTCTTTGGTGTGTGACTATCGTTCGTGAGAGGTTGTGGTGGTCATTTGGTTTGCGGCCTGGCCTTAGGAAAACGAGCAACGATTTACTGTAGGCGTCCGATCCGAAAGTATTGTTCGTGCTCGTTCAACAGACGTGCTAGCGACAAAACCCTTGCTGGTGGTTACAATGCCGTCGTGGTAATAGTCTTGGCTTGTCTTAAGCATCCCTGTACTCATGCCACCACCCAGATCCGGTGTTGTCGACGAATACGCTGCTATGGGGTTCCATAGGGGAGCCGTTCAGGATGAAGCTGACCGGGAACGCGGAGTACTTGTACTCGTTCACCCAGGGCTTCTCGGAGATGCCTTCGCCCGCGCAGGTTCGGGTACCTTCCCTCACGACGCGTTGCTTCAGTAATCATTGGTTGTTGGTCGTTGTATATTTTTACTTATTTTAGTGCTCGGCGTGTGCGTGTCAGTCAACGGTGGTGTCGCGATTCACGCGTATTGCTCTCGCCCTGGTCTGCCAGGTATTTGGACCAGCGCATGTCTACATCAACACTCTATTACCTTGAACCGGCGGAAGCGCCCTCATGTTCCCAATTCGCTGGGTCTGTCGCTTCGTCTTAGCTCATGACCAGTACCGTTCTAAACACCCCTTTCGGAATCATTCGTGTTTGGATAGTCAAATACAAGTTATTTGTGGTTTGGATCGTAAGAGACTTGATACTGCTGGAACAGCAGCATATTTCAACAATCGTCATCATCTTATCGACTTTTCCCCCGCCTATTCGTTCTATCGACGTTGCATCAGTTTTCCTCGGCCTGCAGAGTACCGCATTTCTGCCAGGCCAACTTTCGAGGGAAGGCATATTTCACACTCCCGCCCACCAAACGTTCAGTTAGCACGGAAGAGACATGAGCGGGTTTGTTCGCGTCTATTTCCGCTGAAGGAGACCACGAGGATGTCATCATCAATACATCCCATGCTTCCATACCGGTCGCCCCAATGGTCTACTTGGTAACCTCGAAACCTTCTAGAGGTCAGGTCAGGGGTTCGAATCCCGGCGTAAGCGAGCTTTTCTTGCAAGTGAGTTTTTCTCTCGCTTCCGCTCCTGGCCTAGTGGATAGCGCTAGCTCGTGTGTACACAGAGGGAAGAGAGTGCTGAATTCTTCTCGCATCAAAACTCGAAGGCAAAGTACCGCAGGAGGGGAGGATAGAGAGGGGCTCTTCTTTGTGACCACGGTTTGGTGTAAACGGCACTAGTGCCGTGAGCTGATTTGAAGTGAAGTAAAAAAAAAAAAAAACATGGCAAGATCGGGACACAAGTGGAGTACACGGGCAAGAAGGGCAGGTCGGCGGGGAAGAAGACGACGGTGGTGACGGACGCGGAGGCCTTGTGGGCCATGCTCTACGCTGACGACGCGGCCATCGTCTCGCGCTCGCCGGAGAGTCTCGAGAAGATGATTTCGGTCACGTGCGCGTGGCCGGCCTGTTCGGACTGATGGTGTCGGAGCCAAAGACGGAGATCATGAGCATGCTGCCGAAAGGGATCGAGGAACGCCCGTTCACGGTCAGCGCCGCCGGCCAGATGTAATAGCAGACAGATCGGTTTGTGTACCTCGGACGTACAATCTCCGCGGACGGGAAGGCCGGCCGGGATTTCACGAGTCGCAGCTGCCGAGCGTGGAAGTACGACCGCCGGAACAGTGCTTCGATGTACGACAGGCGACGGGCCGACCGCCAGCTCAAGATCCGGCTACTCCAGGCTGAAGTGGTGGAGACTCTCCTGTATGGGTGCGCCTCGTGGAGCCTAACAGCGGAGCACTACACGAAGCTCAATGGGACCCACCGCCAGTTCCTCACACGGTGCATCGGCTGGAGCAAGCGGAAACGCTCAGACCGCCCCCTGTCCTATGCCCAGACCCTTATCCAGACAGGCTGCGAGGAAACCATCGAGGCCACCATGCGCAAACGGAGACTGTGTTTCGCGGGCTTTGTTATGCGCATGGAGGACAACCGCCTCCCCAAGCGCATGCTGTTAGGAGCGATGGCGGGGGGCGTGGGATACCGGGGCGGGCAGGAGAGCGACTGGGTGTCTCGTCTAGGAGAGGACCTCGTGGCCTTCAATATGAGAGACGAAAAGGAAGGGGGTTAATGGAAAGAGAGCGCCAAGGACCCGGAGGTGTGGTACAACAAGGTCGAGGACGGGGCGGCATGGTTCATGAGGAAATGGCACAGGCAGGAGGCGGAAGCGTCCGCGAAGCGCCAGTGCCCGAGGGAAGCAGAAGCAGAGGGCGGCGATCTCAGGACCGAAGAGAAAGAGAGCCGGGGAAGCGGCGGTGGGGGGGAAGAAACGGCGACGGGGTTAGGGTTTCTTTTTTTCATAGTTCGCCACAAGTGTTTGCTGTATGCCATACTCCTTTTATGTATGCCCTTTGCATTGCCTTCGGCCTCTGTGCTGTTTCTTTTTTTCATGCCCTCCCTGCCTACTCTGCTGTGTTGGGTACCTTGATCTCGCTTTTGCTGTTGCTTTTGTTTTTTGTACATCTGGCTGTCTGCCCATCTGCCGCCTCTTTGTCCTGTTCGCTCCGTTACTCCCATGCCCTGGTGCGTAGTGCCTGGCGCTGGTACGTTACCCTTTGATTTTTTATTTAGGCGGGTGTGGGAAGAGTCCTCCTTTATTGTTGTTTTTGATTTTTTTTGTCGGTTTCCTAGGGCTCTTTTCTCGAGCGGTCGGTGCGGCAGCTGTTCTTTCTATCATTTTGTTTTCTTTTTCCGAGTGGTTTGTACCCTATTTTTTGTTTTGTTTCCCCGCGGCGTCGGATGTGCCGGGTTTTGAGACCACGGGCTCCCCATTTTTGGTGGACTAGAGAGCCAATGTGAGAAACAACAAAAACAACAACAGCATGCTCTGGCGTCTGCGCACCCCCATCCCTGTGTCCTATACTTAGCTTAAAGCCAATTTGGCGCAGCAGCTATCCGTAGAGCAACTTCGGGTCGAGTTTCGGAGATACGTCAAGACTAAGGTGGGCCATGAGCTGGTAAACTTTTACCTCGACTCCCTAGACAGGGAGGAGATCGAGGAGTACTTCGCCAGATAGGTAGAGCGGCATCGGCAAGGACGCTTCACAGAACGCTCTGTTGTGGTCTGTGGGGTTTATGCGTATTTCGTCTAATTCGCTTACCCACCAAACGGCGAAGACAGCTTAGAATATGGTCTTACGCCGAGGCTGCACGCTACGTCCGGAATCCACACCTTGGAGCGGAGCATAGACTATTGAATAGGCGTGTTGGTTGGTCAGAGGGTGTTGGAATCGCTTACCCATGTAGGCAAGTTCCTTCAATAGCCTATCGATACATACCGATCGGTTATTTCAATGTCCGGTTATCGGAATCACGTATCGATGTACATGGTATTTCACCGGGTAGTGACGTTCCATATCAAACCTATTGGTTACATTCGGCGTGGCATCACATATCGATGTACATGTTTGATATTCCATCGGGTGGTGAAGTTCCATATCAAACCTATTGGTTACATTCGGCGTGGCATCACATATCGATGTACATGGTTGGTATTCCATCGGGTGGTGAAGTTCCATATCAAACCTATTTGTTACATTCGGCGTAATGGCATCACATATCGATACATATTGGATTGTATGTATTTTTAATAGGTGACGGGATTGCTTATCGAACACATATCGACTATTCAGTGGGTACTAGAATCGCGCATCGGGTGCACCCATACCATATTGTCGAATAGAGCAAATGTCATCCGATGTCTTTGCTTGCAATAATAGACGACGATATTGTCAACTGCGGCATCTTGTTCATTCGTTCCAGAAACATATTCTTGAATTTGGAGGCGAGGCTGTTCTTCGATCGCTGCTACGAAGAAGTACCAGCCAATGACATGTCTCCGTTCTTGGAAACCTGTACTCTCTGCAGCGTGTTGGGCCTTTGAGAAGGTTCAGAAAGTGGAGAGCACGTTTGACGAAGCGGCAACCTCACGAACACATCGTCGTACTTCCCACCTCGACCGTTCCCCCACCCCCCGCCTTTTTGCTTTCAGGCGGCGACAATGCGCATTGTGGACCAGTACATCAGGGAAGAAGCCCCCGACCAGGTGCGGAGAGATGCCAGACACAGTGCTTTGTTGTGTGCTGGTTTTCTTTTTCGGCATCACGCTTCCCGTATGCCTGCACACATGCACGAGCAACACCCCCTCGTCTTCAGTGTCCCTACGTGCAAGTCTATCAATGAAGCGTTCCCTTGCTTCTTGGTTGGGGCGATTCTGCTACTTGCATTCGTAGGTAAACTTATCCGGGGAGCGTCGGGATGAGATTTTGTCGACGCATGCGACGGCGCACGACATTTTCGGCCGCGCTAGGGCCGAGGTTCTGGACGTTATGGAGGTAAGGCAGAAAGGAAGAGGAGTGCGTTTGTCAAGCCACAGTCCCAACCTCCCCTTGCTCTCGGTAGGTTACAGTCTGGCATCCCATCCCACGCTGCCAACTCGCATTTTGTTTTCAACCGGTCTCGTGCAGCTTACGTCCACGGCCGACACCCGCCTTCGAGGCATTTCTAGCTCTCACTTCATAAGACCATTAGAAACTCCCGTCCCCCTTCTCCAAGTCCGACCCTTTCGCTGCTCCAACCACATTGAAACTAACGAGAATAGACCAACTTCCAGACGGATTTCGTGGAGACGGAGGGGTTCCGTCGCATCGTCGACGCGGCCGAGCTGTGTCCGACCCTTTCGCTGCTCCAACCACATTGAAACTAACGAGAATAGACCAACTTCCAGACGGATTTCGTGGAGACGGAGGGGTTCCGTCGCATCGTCGACGCGGCCGAGCTGGATTAGAGACAGATCCGTCTCCTTCAGGCCGAGGGTTTCTTGCTGCCGAATACCGGGACCTCACCGATTGACACGGGGGTTCCCTCTCCTTCCAGTCCGGACGGCGTGCTGGGCCCGTTCAGGCGCTTGTCCTTGGTGGGACGGATGTTGTTGTCGTCCTCATTAGGACCAGCTCCTTCATTGTCTTCGGCAGGGCACCAAGATGCCGGCACCGGGGGCGAAGAGGGGGTCAGAGGCCTTGGTAACTTCAACGGGAGCGGCACTCAGGATGAGGAAAAAGGGCGCGATGAGGATAGTGACATGTCCGTTGTCAAGACTGGTGGCGGCAATGTACCTGGTGGGGGTGGTGAAGGGGGTGGTACCTCGGAAGTGGAAGGGTGGATCTCGTTTCTCTGTAGCTGTGCGGTTGTCGCTACGCCAGGCGCGGGCAGATGGTGGAGTGGCACCTCGGAGGTTGTTCTTGCTATAACTCAGTTCCCTGCAGTCGACCACAGTCACAACGGCCACGGAGGCGAAGAATGAGGGAGGGAACGGGTATCGAAAATGAAAAACTGTAAAACAACGTTTTGATTCGACATGCACGAGTGTCATGCTTGCTTGTTCGTACCAGCTCGTCTATTGTCGGTTCTGTTGGAGCGGACGGCATCTTCGCCGAAGGCGCGAGGTAGGTTCGATGGTCAATGGCGAAATTCGTGAATGTGTCATTGGTGTTCATCGGTGGGTGTTGATGTGGGTGGTGCGAATGATGTGGTCTCCCAATGTTTTTCATGCGCAGGCATTGTACCGCGGTACTTCTGTATGTTGTGGCTGGTGCAGGTGAACGGATAAGCTTTATGTTGGTATAGGGCGGCGACATTGCCACTCACACTTGTTCCACAAGTAAAAGACGTTCACCAAAGGCGTTTGGGTCTCTGTAAGTCCGTTATCCGGGATGCCAGACACACTGGGGGTCAAATGGACCTCCCCCATACCCGTTGGAAGAGTCGAATCTCTTGGTTGTTGTTATTGTCGTTGTTCTATTGTTGTCGATTGCTGTTGCTGCTGCTGTCTTCACAGTACAAACTGTTCCGGTCTCTGCTCGGTACCTTCTGATGTCCGCAACGGATCAACTCACGGACTAGGATAAACGTTTCGGTGCGGCACCTCTACTCCATATTTGTCTTGTTGATATCTTGGTCGAAGGAGGGAGTTCTGAGCAACAGTCGACGACCCAACGCAACGTTTCTTCGAAAAATGGTGTGGGGTTCGAAATATTTCCTAGTTCATCATGGAAACGGAACCAGTTTTCGGTGGTCGTTAGTTCGTGAATCATTGTTTCCAGGTCGCCACTACCCATTGTAGAGCAGACAAAGAGAGAGCGAAAGAAGAAACAATATTGTAACTTGACAAACGAGGCATGATGCGCAAAATAGTCACTATGATTGCCTCTCTTCTGTACCTCCCCGTGAGAAACGGTCTACTGCACACCATACTACCACAGGCAAATCAACACCCACTAAAATCTCCTCCAACATGTTGCTAGGAAAACTTGGGCCACAAACGTTGTGAACAACAATCTGCACACACCAACCTCGCAACGAATAGGACGCGAATGATCGATGCACTGTTCGTTGCTCCTCTTCACTCCAATCACCTTGGGGCTGGGAGGAACTGCAGCAGATGCGGCTTGTTGCTGATATCCTTGACTCTAATGGCTTCCTATCGCTGTACATGTACACCATGCGGCCGGAATGTAACCAAACCACAGACACAACATGCCCTTCTGTAATGACTCGAATAAACTCCTGAATCTTGCGATGACGTCATGACGCAGCGAATACGTCTGATAATGCCCAAAGCGAACATGGTATTGTTCCGTCATGCGCCTACCTCACAAGAACACGAGCCCACCCTGAGCGGTCGTAGTTGCAAGTAAAAAACAAATCTGGGAGGGTTCTGGTCAATCAGGAAGTGGAGGGGGTGGTTAAATGCGGCGACCCAAAACCCTCACCCACACGACGATAACGATGTTACAACCAAGGAAGCGGTAGAACGACCTGGGATGGCAGCATCGGCGGATATATCCGGTGGGGTTGGGAACATTGCCAAACATCCGAACCGAAACGACCATGATACAACGATATCACAAAGGGAATAACCGCAAACAACCCCGCACGAACGAATCGCGATCGAATACATGGTCAACCGTCCCGGAAAGGAGGGCTACCAAACGGGCACTTCAAGTCCAAGAGACTAATCGAAAACCTGTCCTAAATCGGCATGGAGTAAATATGAAATCCTCTAAGGGTCGACCAATAATCGAACCATTGCGCTGAAAGAAGTGGTTTCCGGTGGAAACGGCGCAATAATTGCCAACTGACGAAAAATATTGATCGAAC